TTGCCGGGCCGCCTCGACATAGCTCTGGAAATAATTTAGAGAGAGAAAGTGGAAGTAGAGAGTAGAGAGAGAAATTGTGTTTTTTAGTTTGAGGGCAAAAGTGTCATTTCACTCTTATTTTGTGGGCTTTATGTAGGAATTTGCGGGCGATGTTTAACAGTTCACTTGTTTTAACGGAAAATAACTTATTGGGAATATAATTTTCTATAGAAAATAAATTTTAAGTGAAAACAAAATTGAAGAAAAATAGTTTTTCTTTGTTTGTAACCTTATAAGAAAAATCATATAGAAAGGGGAAAATAGGGGTGAAAGGGAGCAGGTACGTGAATTCAATTGTACAAAATAGCTCCTAAGGTTTGAATGAATATAACTTATTTGATCCACCTGCATGGACGCAAACCCAAATTAAATAGATGAGAATTGGGTGGCATATCACATATAGATGATGCTCAATTCCATCTAATAACCATCCATCCACCCATTTAACATATATGTATACTAGATTAAGTCCCGTGCCACGCACGGTTTTTACAATAAAATTATATAACGAATTATAATATTTATTCAAAATCTACCAAAATATAATCCTCGTATTTTTAAATGAAATTGAAAAGGTTTTAATCTTAATTTATTTAGTATTATGTTATTGATTATTGATTGATATTATTAATTATAATTTTAGAAAAAAAAAATAGTAAATTATTTTAAAAAAATTGTTATCAAAACACTTATTTTTTGTTGCAAATTAAAATTTCAAACAATTCCTTGTTATTGATTCTTGTAAGGAGGTCTTAACCAAATCTCAATCCTCGAGATTTTTCTAATCCAGATTTTGTGTCCAAGCTAAGGCACTTGGAAGCGGGGAGTACGTAGAGAGGGAGGGTAAGGGTCAGGATACCTACCCCCCATACACCCTCACTTGGTACTTTGGTAGGGTAGTGTTATATGACTACATAATAATACATTAATGCGTAGTACATTTTTTTTTATTAAAATGCTATGCATTTTGAAATCTATGATCCAAAACTAGCTTAAATTACTACTAATGCTTAATTGCTCTTAACATTTTTATTTTTTAACTTCTTATATACAATTCTTAAGATTGCAAATAGCATTTTCCAAGAATAATTTTGATATTTTTTCGATAGTTTTACTAATATGCACGTTACTAATATACACATATTAGAACTCCCATAATGCCTTAGCCCAACAGCCTTAGCTATATAATCCCTCTAACGTACTGTTGGGCCCATATTGCCAAGCAACCCAGTACGTTTAGGGCATCACACAATGATCGAAGGATACATTAAAACAAGCAAGATGGCCTGATCGGAACAAGTATGGCAAGCAAGATCAGAATATCAATCATGAAGATACTTGTTAAGAATAATCCTACTAAGCAGGGAAATAGAATTAAATCAAAGAAGATCTTCTATGTTTGGATATATTCGGTATCTTTGTAACCCTAGTGGCTCCTAGGTATAAATAGCAAAGTTTGACATTGTAACACTCATGTACATGCACTTATACATCAATATAAACTGATTATTTTACTTATGCTCTCGGAATCGTGTCTTTGCTGAACAAGGAACTGAAGGAAGCCTATCCTTACTCAGTATTGTATCTCTAAACTTATTCCCTTTTAGTTTAATTGTTTACTTATTGCTTTATCACTGCTCTTGGTTATTGCATTCAAATACTTGTGATTTGATTGTTATTACCCCTAGATCCTTAAGTAAATTCCTAGATGTCCGTACTAAGATTTGCCTAAACACGTACCTTACGTGTATCATCCTTCTTATGCATCTCAAATTTGGACCTTATCAAACTTGTAATCCTATTGTAGGATTCATGCTTCATGTAATGCTTGTTTCATACCAAAAAAATATTCTTTTCCTTTGTTTTATATATGCTGGCCAAAAACCAATAACGTAGCTAGATTTGCATATTAAGTATAATTAAAATATTTCAATATAAATTTCATGCATGTCCAATGTTAAGAATCTGCCCCCTTTAGAATTTTGGTGGCCGTACTTTGTCGTATACTTAGAGATCCCACGTTGTGGGGTTCAAGTCGTTGAACTTTTTTTTTTTTTTTGGGGGGGGGGATTGTTTGGTACTACTAAACTACTAAGCTACTTTTGTTTTGTATTTTATATATGCATAAATTAAATTAAATAGAGTGAATAAATAGAAAGTACATGCTATGAGCTAAACGCCTAAACCTTTCGGTTTATAATTTTTGGAGATGCCGTTATCTTTTTTAATGTTCCCGCCGGCAAAGCTAGCCAACTACCCAACAAGTTAATTTGCATTCGGATTACCTCATCATAACTACTTTGACTTTTTAATACAATACTCCATATTATATAGCAGCTTTAAATAACACACAAGATATCCGTTATTAGGGTCTGTTCTGATTTACTGAATTGAACTGAACTGAATATTTTACGAGAGAAAGAAATTAAGAATTAACTAAGTGGACAAAACTGAAATTAAGCTGAACACAACAGGTCCTTATTAGCCTATCACCATTTTGAGAGCTACAAACACATTCATACTAACATTACATCTAGCACATCATAATACATAATAAAGGAATACAAATACAATAATCTAACCTATTGTAATGAACTAATGACCGAAATTATTCTTTTTTTTTTTTCTTGGACAACTAAAGCATTCTAGCAAATAATGGGCTAAGTTTTTCCATTATCTCCAATTTAGTACCAACAAAAAAATCAAATTATAAAGTCCATATAATTTTGAGAGGAGCTTCTAACTTCTTCCAATATTAACTTGTTTGAACTCCTTCATTGTGGTTGAGATTGAATCTTCTCTACATCATTAATTATGAATCTTTGTGACATTGTCCTTTGTGGCTTTCTCTTACAAAAAAATAAAAAATAAAAAAAATCTACCTGAATTGTAGAGTATGTTTCCCTGGACCTTATGATTTCACCTTAGAATAATCTTATAAGTTTGATGTGAATTGCAATGGCAAGCATAAAATTATAAGTTTTGGTACAAAATAACCACTAAGGAATATTTTCTCTACTATTTTATACTTGCAGAGTTGCAATAACACACCTAGACACGTTTGAGGAAGTGATTAAAAAAGATAAAGGAACATATAAAACTATAAGTTATGGTGGTAAAATTAATTCAATTAAAAAGTTTGTCCGCTTACCTAGTTTAATATCCTTCTTAAAGTAGTGAGCATGCATACTAAAGTAGTACTTCCTCCGTTCTATTAATATTGCAACAATGGACTTTTTGCACTATTTATCACTCTTGTTTGACCATATAATATGAGTTATACGTTAAGCAAAATATAGTCAAATGACATCTTGTTGGATTCGTCTCATATAATACTTTCACAATATCAACTTTTTATAATTTTTACTCTTATACAATTATAGATATTTAGCATATAAAATGTGTTTTGGGATGCGTAATTCCCTCCTTGTTGCAAATATTAACAGAACGGAGGAAATATGTTGCAAGGAAAACGAAGGAAGTATTTATTTGTCTATTTATTTTATTAATCCTGTCCACTAATTGTTACTAACTACATGATGTTAGTTTTTTGCACCAAAGACGAACATGAAAAATTGAAGTTGTTAAGTTTTTTAAATTCATGATTTATAACTAATTTACGGCATGATTGAAGGTAGAGCAGTTGGTGTTACATCAATATCTTGTGGTCTAAACTTTGATCTACTACTTTAGAAGTACTATAAGGTACTACCAAACATCCAAACCATGATGTCAAGCTTTGAGTTTCAGATACTCTACCCATGTGCCCTCAAAATTAACGTTACTTACCATCTACTAATATAAAATGCCATTAATCTTACCTGGTCTTATGAGTAAGACGTGTGAAAAATCTGGTAATTAGATTTGCTCGAGTCATTTATGGTTTTATATCGATGATCCAATAACCATGACCTGGAAATTTCAATTACGGATTAGTCCGGTCAAATTAATGACATATTTTTATACTACCCCCGTTACAGGTTTTGTGCAACGATTTTGACATAAAGCAGAGAGAGAAAATGTCTAATCGTTGCACATAACCTGTAACGGAGGTACTGGTAGTAAGATAAGTTCATATTAATGTTAATAGCGTTACTCAAGTTCAAGTTACAACTAATATAGTTTGTTTTAATAAGTAAATATAATGTCAGATTAGATTTAAAAAGTTCATATTAATAGATACTAAGTGAATAAAATGCACCATAGTTACTTAAAAGAAAAACTAATTTCTTATTTATTGGGTTTATAGAGTGTGAGGGATAGCTCAGGTGTTAGAGCTTCCCTTCTAGATGTGACCTTACGATCGTTATCGTATAATTATCAAACCTCGAAATCATATAGGAAAACAGTATGGCTAGGTTTGAGTCATTTTCACGTGAAGTCGATTTCATTCTACTCAGATCAAAATTTACCAGGTTGAATATTGAAACCCCGTATCATAAGATCGAAATCGCTAATTGATAAACAAAAAGCCAATTTTCAATCAAATACTCCGTACATAACACATTTATCGGTTATGTACTCTTTAACAAATTAGCAAGTCACATATTAATAATATAATCACTCCACCAATTGCTGAAAGTTTTGGCAATACAAAGTCACCATGCATTATTTTTAAATTCTATGTTATTTTCGAGTAGAAATGCAAATAGTCAATGGATTGGGCCAAATTTAACTACAACCATATATTTAACATAACCCAACTTTAAGCTTTTTAATTCCAGCTAATTATTATATTCATTTTTTAGCCTTATTGGCCATAATTGGCAAATTTGTTCATCCTAAACTCTAAATTAAATCCCAAGGAATATTTACCTAATCCTTGTATTTTAAAAGGCTTTATTCTTTTAAGGGAAAACATAGATCACCTTCAATCAATGTAGCAAATCATATCATGAAATTGCAACTAATTTTCCTTTTAAAATAGAAAAATTAAAAAAAGTATACAAATCAAATTGTATAAGAAGTCAATCAAACTAATATGCTTATAAATTTATGTTTAAAAGAAACAAACAAGGTAAAGAACTTATACCCTACAATAATGATTGATTGATTATTTTTATTTCCTTTCTCTTTATTATTATTGTTTTAAGTCAACATGATACCCTTACAAAAAAACATACATTCCCCCTTAATTTCCTACATTACAAATATAAATACCTCTCTTTTTTTGCTCTCAACCTACAACCAACCCACTCAACTTCTCTCAACTTCCTCTCTAATTTTTTTTTGTTAAATTAGTAAAAATGTTGAAGAAGATTAGAGTGGTAAAATCCTTGTCTAATCTTTCCAAGAAAACAAAGGCGACGATCAACAAAGTTGATAGTTGCCATTCTTGTGAGTATTCACATCGACAATCTTTGCTAGTCAAGGGATCGTTAGAGGAAGATTCATTTTCTCCCACGAAGATCCCTACAGGGTTCTTCGCGGTATATGTTGGGGAGGGGAGGGAAAGATTTCTCGTCCCCACGAGTTTTCTTTCTCATCCCCTCTTCAAGATATTGCTAGAGAAGACTTATGATGAGTTCGGGTTTGAACAAAAGAATGGCCTTATTGTACCATGTAGCGTTTCGACTTTTCGAGAAGTGGTTAACGCCGTAGAGAGTAACCATGGAAGGTTTGACATGAGAAAACTCTTTGAGGAAGTTGTTGTTTGATCATTTGTATGTAAGTATGTATATATAAAAGAGTTATAATCATAGAGTTTAATTAAGTTTAATTGTAGGTGATTAAAGGTGATGAGGCAATTATTTTGTAATTAAGTCTCTGTAATACTTGTAGATTTAGGAAACTCTTTAGAGTAATTTCCAAGGAGTATGTAGTAAAAATGCATTCCCATGGATTTGCTGTAGATTATGTGGTTGATAAATATAATATGATCACGTATGACATGTTTTATTTTATTTTTGGACATTGGCATGTCATTAAGTTTTGGAGCAAATTAATAGAGTGGATCTAGATTTATAACACCAGAAAACAGATACTAAAAATGAGTTATACGGAGTAAAAAATTTACTTCGTACAATGGTATTTCGAATAGGTGTGTGGTGGTGTCTCATATCATTATGATAATGTGATACACTGATACTCGATTTTTTTCAATGCTTACTAGAGGACTATGAAGATAAGTCAACATGTTTGTATACACCTAAATTTTACAAATTTGTGACATTGTAAGTACATGTGGTGTTACCACGAGTGTATCAACCGTTCCTTTTTTATTTTTTCATGAGGCTAACAACATTATGAGTTTGTATTGATGCTAATGTATACTTTCAAAAGTTACTCTACGTTTCAAATAATTTTTAGCGGTTGAGAGATGGGCAAAATGTGTTGTTATATCCCTTATAAGTTAATTAATCAATGCTCAAATAGCGTAGTAAGGACCTTGGGTGCTCAATTTTGCTAAATTTAACTTATTTTGTTGAAATAATACTACAGTAATAATTTTTTTGTACAATTTCAGACTTATTCCTACTGAATTTTGCTTATCATAAGTCCACAACCTATTTATTTCTAAACCTTTTTTTCTTTTGAAACAAACCTTGCAGATATTGAAATCATAGAGGTCCATTTCCGCCAAAGTTAAGAGAATTTAAGGGAAAGGGCCTAATCAAACATATTCGTTGCAACCTCTAGCATCTCACCTCGCAACAAGGTGAGCCAAGTGAGGGAAAGGACCTAAAACAAACATATTTATTTTAAACTTTAACTTAATTTAATTAAATTTAACTTTCAGTCAAAATAAATAATAAAAATAAACATAAAAATAAAAATAAAAATAAAAGTTGAATTCAACTTATTAATGTAAAAGTTATTTTTGTGAATTAGCCCGAACAGTTTTATTAGAAAAAATTTGCAAATTTTATTGAACATCTCATTTTGGTACAACATTTGCCCATGAAGTTCTTTCAGGAATAGAAGCGACACGCCGGCCTGATGCACGTTTTACTACATTTATCCACCAACAAATCACTAATTTTCAGGGTCTAATTTGTAGATAATGTTAAAAACTAGCAATTCCATCCATTACCTCAAATTTTAAACAATCATCACATATCCATTCTTGTTAAATTAATGTAGAACAGGAAATGGTCGAATTAATTTCAAAAATAAAAATTGTCGTGTACGGAACATTACATTTGTACTAATATTATTCATATCACGAGGTATTAAAAGTCAAATAATATATGTGTCTATTATTTCGTAATACTTTAGGTTGTCATGACCAATGAGCATACCGAGCATATGCTCTAGAGTTCGGAGTTGACAATGTCGATGTTGAGTAGCCTAATGCGAAGTACGTTTTATTATTACGTATGTTCGGTATGTACATACCAAGCAGTTGATATACTAGTATTTGTTGGCCAACAAAAAGGATGATGCATGATTCAGTTTTTAGTTTTATTTTTTGGTACGTGAACATAGATAAGTTATAAATATGATAAGAAAACAACATTATTTCTTGTAAAAGCATAATAAATTGGTATTTTATTTAATATTATGGTGTATTATCACTTATTTGAATTGTGTTTGCTTGTAGACTTTGTCATATGACGAGTGATTGAGTGAATATTCATTTTTGTGCCATGGCACAATCTCTTTTCTTTCTTTTTGTGACAAGTTGTTAGGAATCATTCATACAATAATTTATTTTATTTAATTAGATGACAATGGTGTGCAAGATGATTGATTAAATTTAATCTTACATAATATTAATTCATATACTTAAGTTGGAATTTTTAAATTCATTTATCAACCAAATTCATTTATCAACCAAATTCATTAGTTAGATTTAAATTCTAAAGTTAGTGTCAACAAGTCCTTAATACTTGGAATAGATAATGAGTAAATTAAAATATACGCCTGATTATATATATGAACATATTTTACGAGAAAAATACATTTAAAATACTTTGTATAATTGATACATTTACTTTCATTTAACTAGACCGGGGTCGCATATGATAACACTTTTTTCTTCTCAAGTTATCCTCTTCGGCTTTTCATCATTTCAAGCCTAAACTCCATTGAAGAAAGTATCTCCAAACCGTACCACGGCCAATGTTTATTAATTCTAATGTTATTGTCAACAAGTCTCTAATATGATTAGATTTTACAACAAATATATTTAAAATACTTCATACAATTGAATAAGGTACATTATCTTTTTATTTCAAACCAAACCTCCATTGAATAAAGACAATAAAGTGCCTACGTTTCCATGGCCTATGTTCATAAATTTTCCTTAGATATTTTAGTTGCTCCGTTCCAAAATGAGTCACTTTAATGTTACGTAGTAATGTATTAAGAATTTGAATATAAAATATAGACAAGCAATAATATTGCAATGGTATTTTATTTTTTATTACTTACTTTATTCAAGTGATGGATTAATAATATATATATATATTGAAACCAAGTAATATATAAACTTATCTTAAGTTAATAAATTTTAGTACATACACCACAAATTTATTTATCGCTTTTTACATAGAGTAATTCAAATAACAATAATATAGAAGGAATTTAATATCAAATTTTAGGAACAACTCTAAGACCACCGATAACCAACCAAGCTATCTAGCACCCACAATCATGTGTTTTATTTGAGAGAGTGAGACGAGTCCTTGCCAAGATAGTTTACATCGGATAATAATGGGCCTACATACAAAGCGTCATGCTACCATGGTTCTACTTAACACTATGATAATAACAGTAATTTCCCATGAGTCATGACGCTTGAGGTTGGATTCTAACACACAGAGTCATGTATGTATTAAGTGATAATGAGATCATGTTAAACAACAAATGAAGAAGAAAAAGGGACAAGTGGTAATTAAAATTCTCTACCCTGACGTCACAAATATATTAGATGCTTAATCAATAAAAACAGGTATTGAGATAAATAATTATAGAGTATATGTTAAGGCGTTGGTATGAATATCATGGTTCATGATCTCAGAGTCAATTGGAATTTGCAATAAACATAGCAAAGATATGGTTAGCCTTTTTGTTCTTAATGATGAATTGACTGACTTTGAACAATAAATAGTCAAAGTTCTTTTATTAATTCCAATTACCCATTGCTATGGTGAAGCAAATAATATAGCAGACTTCATGGCCAATCAGAGGCGAGGCTACAATACTGAGGCCATTCTATAGTAGTTTCACTTAAGGATTCTGTGTAATCGACCACCCTTTACATTCTCAGAACCACCCTTGTGGCCAATCATGATCACCTCCCTATCCCTCCAACAACGCTATTTGGGTTCAATTCTTGTAACGGCAAGCTTCCCCTTACGGACGACTACGGAGTAATAAACAAAATGCAGCCAAAGATTAAATTACGTTAGGGTTGCCTGCGGTCCACGGATCTAGTAAGGTGTCATTTTCAAAGCAACCAACTTTCATGGTTGTACTGATTTGGACTTAAGTCCGTAGGACCCGTACAACATGCTTAACAGCTTGAGTTTGACATTTAATTTTTTTTATTTGACAAATCAAAAAATTATTCAAAGTAGCATGTATAAAATAGATCAGTCTTTCTCTTTCAAAAAAAAAATAGAGATTAGTCTTTCAATCATCTATCTAATAGTTGTCCAAAACTATTCAAAAACTGAGAAGTTAGTAGTACAAACTATACTCATAATTTATGGAAGATAAAAGGTAAATGTAAAACGATACTCCCTCTGTTTCTGAATACACAAATTATTTTTGCAAGCGAACTTTTACGGAACTGGTTAGGAAGTGTGGTAAGGTTCAAGGAATGGGGGGTTGTACTGATTTGCAAAATTTGCCAGCTTGTCTTAATACCCCTCAAAGATTTACTCTATACTCTATAGTCCTAATTTGCGATCATATTCGAACATTTTCCCATGTTACTCTTTTAAAACATTTTTTGTCTAGTTGATTGATTACCTTGATTCAGGTAATCCTTTCTTGTAACCACTAGATTCATCCTCTAAAGCAGAAAACTATAAAATTAACCTTAGTTTCATTGGATAATAAAGACTACCAAACAAAACAACCATATTCAATGTCTCAATCGACTGAACTGAAATATCTTCAATGGTTGCTGTTGTCAGAAAAAGGGAATTACAAAGGAAAAGGACACAAAAATTAAAGGGATGCTGACTATAAGCAGTATAGCAGCAATGTCAAACATCTGCAGGGAGGGGGTACGAAAGTTTCCTCAAGACAAGGTAGGATCATCACGTAAATTGCAGTAAGATACTGCAAAAAGATTAAGGAATGATGAATCATTTACATTTCTCCCTTAATTATACAGCTGCAAATTCATACAAGTCAGCTAAGCTTTATTAAGGCCTACCTCTCTTTTTTTTTTGAACGGTATTAAGGCCTACCTCTCAAAAGAATTACAAAGAATTAATAAGGATTTTTTTCATATTGTCAATCAATTCTTGCATTTGTTCTCTTGAATGCAAAGGAAATGGATAGACACATGCACAATCCAGTTTGCCTTGCCTTACAGTATCAAATATAGCAATGGTAGGGCCCACACCATGAGTAGAGGCACAGCCCATGTAATCTTCTATCCCTAGTTCCTTATGATCCTCATTTGTTTCATCAATTACTGGATCTTCAAAAACTGAGATAAAGGAGGTTCTCAAGGAAGAAGATGGAGTCAAACCTGGATTTTCAATGGCCCGGCACATGAGAAAGTTGAGGTCAGCCATGTCCGAAAAATGCTTGTTTGAGTTCTTTGCATCTGCAAAGGATGTGTAAGTTCTTCCTGCGAGCTCCCACAGCTCCTCGCCTCCTTTCATGTCATGAGTATTGAGGATGGCAGAATGATAGAATCCTGAATCCATGCATGGAGAAGCAGCAAGGTTATTTTCAAACAAAATTTGTATGTTAACAAAGTTTACAACAAATTCAC